TGCAGATGTTTCAGAATGGATATCTCATCTAACTCACTTTGGCTTTACAGCATTTTTTCACACCTGCCTAAAATTTTTGCACAGTACTGTATATTAACATATTTGACTGAAAAAATGAGGGTCCAGATTATTTATTGTTATAGTGAGAAAAGTCTAGCTGTCTCCACTTACCATATTTGGTCTTTTACTTGACTGCTTAGATTGCCAATGTGTCACAAATCTAGTTTAACAACAAGAATAAAAAATTTAATATTGTATGATGGCTTGGTTTAGAATGATATAATGAAAAGAAACCATTTAAAATGAGCAATTGGAAAATGAATATTGGACATCAAGAAAAAATATTATTAATAATAATATATTATATGCTGCGTGATTTTCTGTGACTCTCGATAGCTGAGAAATTGTTCAATGGGAGAATATGTGCTTTGCATGCCTAATATCCCATATAATATAGTTGTTATTATTACTATTATTTTATCCTGCCTTTTTTATATATAACACAAGGCGGTGAACGTACCTAACATTCCTGCCCCCTATTTTGCCTGCAACAACAACCCTGTGGGCTGAGAGAGAGCGACTGATCCAAAGTCACCCAGCCAGTTTTCATGCCTAAGGGAGGTCTAGAACTCACAGTCGCCTGGTTTCTCGGCCAACACCTTAAACTACTACACCAAACTGGCTCTAGTAGTGTATCCACTGAAACCATCTTAGGTAGTTTTGCTGAAGAACTCTGACTATGACTTTAAGGCTGTTAATCAAAATACTCCCAAAAAGAATAAGACCAGGGCAAAAAGAAATAACTTGGTTAACATTAATTTCTGTAAAGTAAGGCATCCCACTTGTAAAATAAATTGAATTGTCCTCTGCATCTACATAGGCAAACTCTTCTCTTATACCCTAAGCCTAGTAATCGGGACTCTCCAAGTATAAGTCTCTGCTTGCTTACTAGGCTCATTGAGTTCAGTGCTTCTTACTGCCCTCTAAATATAACTACCCTTCTGCCTTGCTGGAGATGGATCTCTTTAATCCAGCATACTTAGTTAGAAGAGAATATCTGTAGCTCAGGGTTGAACTGGGGGGTTCTTGTGGGGTTGCAATGAGGATGTTACCTAGTTGGTTAATGCAATGCCTGCAAGCAAACAGCCAAGCTCGGAGAGCACCAAAAACTCCATACTTAGTATAAGCTGGGATGAAAAAAAAAATCTTTGGGAAGTTTATCACCTTCTATTTACAAAAGAGAAAGGGTTGATAAATGTGTTTGTGCCAGCTGCAAGTATGTGGCAAGTTATGGATTTTTACTATGTGGTATGTCCCCTTGGATTCAGTGGCCTTTTCTTCATCACTAAACATAGATGTGAGCCTGATTTCTGTATCTAACCCAAACATTTAAACAGTAGTCTAATATTACATTTTTGCATTGATATAATGGAATATATGTAATGCTGCATTGTTTTATATATGTAACATATATCTGAATATAAGGATATGTTATGTCTCACATGGAAAATGTATGCATTTGAGAGAATCACAAAGCTATATCTGATGTTACTTAATGGACTTATTTTTCTAGTGCTCTTGGTGGATCTTCTGCCCTTCACATTCCTGCTTTTCCAGGTGGAGGCTGCCTCATTGATTATGTTCCCCAAGTATGCCAACTGTTAACCAACAAGGTAATACCCAGAATAGACATACTTTTTTATTAACATATAATAAAAAACGCCTCTCCCTGATCACATCAGCCCATCCCATTAGATTTGGCAGAGAAGGTATGCTACACATTCCAATGGCCAGGGACTTGCATTTGGTGGGTCCCGGGAGGCGGGCCTTTTCTGCCATGGTTCCCTCCTTGTGGAACATTCTCCCCCCTGTAGTGAGGCTCGCCCCTTCCCTGCTGTCCTTTAGGAAGTCCCTCAAGACACTGTTACTTCATCAGGCCTGGGGTCTTTGGGAACCGGAGACATTCTTAGATGGCTCGACTGTGATTGATATTCTGCTCTCTCCATGGGGTTTGTATACTTTAATTTTTAAAAAATTTTTGATAATATTTTCATTTTAATTATCACTTTTATCTTTTTATGATTGTTTTTATCCATTTGTTATTTTATTTAATTATTGTACACCACCCAGAGTTGCTTTGTGTGAGATGGGTGGCTATATAAATGTGATATATGTATAAAAGAACAAACAAACAAGCATATTCCAACATACGGGCTCTAATCTAGGGGGGAAAAAAACTATTAATGATAAATTGATAAACTCTATGATCTAAGGTTATATCTGCCAGAAATTTCAAAAGCAAAGCTTAAATTGCCTAATGGAAGATCACTTTGGGGGGGACTCAGGAGTAGTTGAAAAGACTATGCACAGCCTTCTGGATTTCAGCCTTATAACCGGGTCAGAGTTTTCATCAATCTGATTATGAAATAGTCTAGAAATATCCTTTATTCCAGTTTAAATTGCTCTTGCTTAAAGGAACCTTTTAAATTATGAGTTTATGAAATGTACTTTCATATGCAATTCTATAATTATACTGCAGTCTATCTTTAGAGTTTTTGTTGTGGCTCTCTATTGAAATTAGCTTTTTTTAAAAAATTTGCAAGTACACAGATCTGTTTTTAAACTATAAAAACTAGCTTATTTTTTTTTCTACTCCTAGAATAACATTTTACATTCTGTATAAGCTTTCAGAATGAGCGTTTGATCATAAACTGAAAAACATCTAATTTTATAAATAGAATTATTTTGAAAGGATCTAACATATATCCTCTCAAAATAACATGTACTACTGTATCATGGATATTTCAAACATTTTTTTTATAAATGTTTGCCAGACAAGGTAAACAGCAATAACACTGGCAATATCAATGGCATCTATACTTTATTTCAATCAGTGAAAAGCTATAGAAAGGTTCTATTCTCTTATATTAATGAGCAGTTTTATGAATGGCACCTTGATCTACCATACAGACAAAGACACTTTCCTCCAGGGCTGCTAGAACTTCACCACCAGCATGATGTGGTTGATGGATGCAAGTTTTATTGTGGCCTCAACACTGTTCTGTTGTTTGTTTGTTTTTTTGTTATTTTTATTATTCAATTTATATTGTGGTTTTCATTCTTGTTCACTGTCCAGAGTTCTGATTAGTAGATGGGTGGCTATATAATCTTTAATAAATAAGAATATTTTTTAGAATTGATGTACTGATAGCACATGATAGACATGTTCTAACTGCAACACTTAAGTGTTGGCCCAGGAAATTTCGGAACTGTGAAATACATAAAATTGCATCTTGATATAGAGTAAAATGAGTTAGAAACCATAGGCTTCTGCAAAATACTTATTAAATATATTTTATACTATATGAAGTTCCAGATGGATAGTATATTACCATGATGTAAAATAGCAAAATCTAATGTCATTATAAAGTTTAATCAGTCTGTTAATCCTTAAAATGTAAAATACGTATAATAATTATATGCATTTAATATACCAACCTGTTGTTGCTGATACACGTAAAAATATTTTTCCAGACTTCTACTGCCAAACTTACTATAAATAATGTATAAGCTATGTTATTAGTAAAGCATAAACTCTCCCAAATTAATACCCTATATTGTAATTTTTTTTATCATAATTGCACTGATTTCTTCTTTTCTTTTATAGGTTCAGTATGTTATCCAGGGTTACCATAAGAGAAGGGAATATATTGCAGCATTTCTTAGTCACTTTGGAACGTACGTATATATGTGTCACTAAAATGGACTATAAGCATAGCCATTCATTTTCTGTCTATTTCCACTCATATTTACTAAAAATATTTTTTACCACTTGGAGTTTTCCCAAATATGCATGTTTAGGGGTGGCAACCCTGGATTATATTATTATGGTATAGATTATAGATAGATTATACCTTACTGTAGAAGGAAAGAATTTTAGCATTTCTTCTTTCTCACTCTGTCCACCAAGATCAGCTTTGAAGAGTTGATGAGAACAAGAGCCAAAAGAAGGGGAGATCAATAACAACAACAAAAACATGAACAATACAGATGGCATCCTTTGTTAGTTGGAAGTAAAAATAGTGGAAATTCTGGGTTAATGTTAAATATTAAGAAGACAAAGGACGTGTCATCAGCATGATTAGTGAAATCACAGTTGATGGTGGAAAAATGAAGGTGGTAGATAATTTTGCGTTTGGATTCAAGAATAGATAAAAATGGACAGTTTGTTGGAAAGAGGAGATTAGTCCTAGGGAAGAAAGCAATGGCAAACTTAGACAAGATCATGAAGGAAAAGGCTATTTCTATAAGAACTAAGATCAGTATAGTTAAAGCAATGATTTTCCAGTGTTACGAACAGCTGTAAAAGCTGGGCATTAAGAAAAATCAGAAGGAACTTAAATACCTTCAAATTATAGCTTGGGAGATTACTAAGAGAACCATGGACTGCTAGAAGAACTGGTCAGTCTCTTAGATGGAATAAAGAGTGACAACTCCCTTGAGGCGATAATCAGCAAGCAGAAATTCACTTTGGGCATGTGCGGTGGGTGGATAAACTAGAAAGACTATGTTGAGAGAAATAGAAGAATGGGAAGATAATGGAGAACATGGATGGACAGGATCAATAAGATGGGTATATACAGTAGGTCAAGATGGCAGACATTTGCCCATATAGTAGATGATGGGGGCCAGTAATTAGTCAGGATTGTTTCTGCCTGACTTGAGAGGGAAGGCAGTGCCTTCTGCCCTATTTATGAATCTACGCATGCAGATAGGAAGGGGTGAGCCTTCTGCTTAATTTCGTAAATCTAATTATATTTTTCATTATTAATCTTTTTTTTAATAGTGGAGTGGTAGAGTACGATGCTGAGGGTTTCACAGAACTCACTTTGTTGCTGATGTGGAAGGATTTTTGCTTCCTTGTTCACAGTGAGTAGTTATTTCCTTTAGATACAAACATCTAACTGCTTGAAAATGTAAACAAAAATTAACAGAGCAATACCAAATACAGTGGTTCCTCGGGTTACGATCTTAATTCGTTCCATGGCTCTG